GCAGCTGTCCGGCCTGGAGGACTGAGCCTATGTCACTGTAACTCTATTTCGGGAACCTGTGTTGTCCAAAAGGTCAGATAAAGAAGCACAGGAATCCTTACAAAGCAGAGGGCGGGGGTGTCGGGTGAAGGCGGATATTCACAAACCAACACACACACACACACACACACGTGTTAAAACTCAGGACCGTGTTGCTGAGAAGGGGAGAAAGGCAGACAGGAGTAGTGGGACACAGAGACATTAAGAGGGGCTTTCACCTTTGACTAAATTAAAACGTTAGTGTACCAAAGTCTGATCTGACCTCTAATCCAGCTGATACACACACATTTATGGACACCATGGATGGAGAATCACCCAAACAGGACACATCCGGTTCCACGGAATCAACCAATCCCACTGACACCAACAACAACAGCAACCAGGTCTGTATCATTTATTTATTTATTTAACATGTTCATTAACATTTTCACATTCACCCACAATGACTGTCCATCATGTTCTGTACTGGGAAAAAGCAGTGAGAGTGTTCGTGGCTGTAGCAGGTGCTGTGTTGGGACAGCAGAGCGGGAGAAGGGGTTGTTGGCTGCATTTGCTACACCTGTTCTTACTACTGGCTGAAGAATGACACATACACACGTAAATACACACTCACAGAAGTTATGCAAAGTAGTGCACATGACACACACTAAGCCACACATACAACGTTGGAGTTTCCTATTCCCACTGATGAGTCACTGCTGTGATGCCTGACCTGGTGTGTCATTAAGAAACAGGGTACATGGGCCTATTTAATCATGAGGAAATAATAATGTATGCATTACATTTTTTTTGTATGAAGATTTTTAACATATGATGTGAGATCATTGGTTTTAAAACTGTAAAAGGCCAATTTTCCCCTTGAAAGTTCCAACTCTGAGGTGTATATTTATAATACTCAACAAATCCCAGAGCTCCAGGTCTCACATTACAAGGACTGTGTTATCCCTCGAGTAACTTGTGGAAAGTCCACTTTATTTATACAGCAGCTTTCATGTAAACAGCTCAAACGTTTCACATAGCAAGACCAAGAACTGAAGAACACAGAAAATTCACAAAGAATAATTTTAAAAATACAAATCAGAGTTAATGAAAGAAATACCTAAAAAAAACAAAAAACAACACACAGCAAATGAACTAATGGCTCGCATTACAAATCTGAAATAAATAAAATAAAAAACACAATAAACTTTTGTTCATTCTTCATACATTTTTTCATGAAAGAAACAGAAAAAATCCTCTTTACAAGACTGAAAAGAAGAAGATAGTTATCCGAGATGTAAATAACTGAAAGAAAAGAGGAAGACTATCCTCTGAGTCATGCTGAAAAGAAAACATGTGATGTAGTGCCCCCACAGAGAAATGACTATGAAGAAGCTTCTCCCTTCTTCACAAGGGGTCACCACAGCAGGTAAATCTGGATCTCTGATCTGGCAAAATTCTATATGGGATACCCTTCTACACCCAAACCCAGGGAAAGGAAATAGCAAAGAAAATTACTGTGTAACCTACACTGTTACTTATACTGAATACTCCACCTTAAACTCCACCTTGTCTTGATGCCTTGGTATAAGGCTAGAATTTAGAAGTGATAGAACTATTGTCACAGACATGTATTACGAGTGTTTGTCACATATTTATTTTTGCACAGGCCGGCGAGCCAGAGGTGGAGAATAAAGACTTGGGGGAAGGAGCAGAAGGTCAGAGGGTAATGGAGACTGAGGATAAGGTTGAGGAAGATACTGTATCAGAAGAGGCAGAAAAGGAGACGTCAGGAGACACAAAGAAACCTCAGACTGTGTCACAGTCTAGTGAAGGCAATACTGAAGCAGATGCACAAGATAAGGAGAAAGCATCTACTGGTGCTGAGGTGAAGGATTCTGAACGTGAAGGAAAAGATAAAGAGGAGGATGCAGAAGAAACCGAGAAAGGAGGGCAAGTGGCAGAGATCCAGAGTAGTGAGACTGGAAAAGATGGAGAGGACATGAAGGACAAAGAGAAAGAGAAAAAGGAAGAAGGTAAAGATGTGAAAGAACAAGAGGCAGAGAAGAAAAAACAAGTGACGGAGGAAGATGCAGAGCCAAAGGACAAAGGAAAGACAAAAGAAGCAGAAAAGCAGGCAAAGCCCAAAAGAAAGAGTGGTCCCCCCTCCTCTTCTCTCTCTCGACCAAGACCCTCTGCACGCTCCATAAGAGCGTCTGCTAAAAACGACATCATCGCCAAGTTCCAGAAGGGCGCACCAGAGTGAGTAACTACATGATGCTTAGTACCTCAAATTAGAGTGTGACAGTTAAAAATGTTCCTCAAGAGGTTAAATCAGAAACTGTGTTGCAACACTGCTAGGACACCAATACCTCGCAACTTCAAGATTCAGAAGTCATCTGCTGCTGTGGCTACAGGAGCTTCAATCAAACAGAAGATACTTCAGTGGTGTCGCAACAAGACTCGGAACTACGAGGTGAGCTCAGCATTAAATCTTTATCTAATGCGACACATCCGCATTCTAGATCCAGAGATAAAAGAAGACCTAATTTAAGATGCTCTTCCCATGTGTCTGTCTCTTGCATTTTTTAGGGCATCAACATAGAAAACTTCTCGTCATCCTGGTGCAATGGGATGGCATTCTGCGCTCTGATTCATCGCTTCTTTCCAGATGCTTTTGAATACAGCTCACTGAAGCCAGAGGAGAGGGAGAAAAACTTCACTCTGGCCTTCAAAACTGCAGAGTATGGATTTCTTCATTCTTTCTTCTCTCAGTTCAGTTCAGCTAAGACTGAATAACACAATTACAATATTTAAGAGTCGGAACTTTACATGCAGAACATAATATAACAAGGTCACGGTGAAAAATACAAAAGGAGAACTGCTGTGAAAAGAATGTAACTAAAATAAAATTCTGCATGTTGGCTGTCCAAAAAAGAAAGTTTCAGGAAAACAATGTATGGAATGACACTGTTAATGTAAATGCACCTGGTTAGAAATCTCTTATTCATATTACTATGAATGACTGCCACCTTGTCACCTCAACCTTATCCTTTCCCCTCCTTTGTGTATCCCTGACAGGTCCTTGGCTGACTGCTGCCCTCTGCTGGAAGTGAGTGACATGCTCATGATGGGTAACAACCCAGACCCAATGTGTGTGTTCACATATGTCCAGTCCCTGTGCCACAGCCTCTCCAAAATAGAGAAAGAGAGGAAGGACAAAGAGAAGGGGGAGAAAGAGAAGGCTGGTAACGAGGAGGAAGAGAAGGACAAAGGAGATGATGCAGCAGGAGAGGTGTCGCCAGAGAAAGATGAGGAAGAGTCCGCTGAGAACGAGACGATGAGCAGTCAGGAGGATAAACCAGTAGACGGTACAGAGATGGAGGGCACTAATGAGGAAGGGAGTCCATCAAAGAGCTGTGTGGTGGAGGAAGGTCAGAGTTCATCAGTCGAGGCAGAGTCTTAGACAGACACTGGCAAACACAAAGACTGAAAAGACCAAAAAGATTGTTTATGGTACTACAAGGAGCAAGTCTTAGTCTGACATTGTTGGACTGACTACTGTCGGAGTAATGAGGTACAACAAAAAATCACTCAAAACTAAAATACTGGTGATGATGATGTCTCGTAGTTACAGCGTGTTTGAAAATGTACTTCTGCGTGTGTTTTTTCCATTTACGGATATGCTGTTTTTTATGTTGTTCTGGGCACGAAAAGCAAGAAATTGCTGTGTATCTATGAAAAAATAACAATGAAACAAAGATCTTGTGAATTAAAAAGCTGCTTGTGCAATAAGAAAACCTTGAGAGAGTGTGTGACGGATTTACTTTTTTCATAATACACATGAAAAGGTTAA